TTGTTGAAGAAAGACAACTCCAATTTATGATGGCTGTGTTTGTTGCTGGCATCTTTTGTTGATCTGGGAAGTGCAAGTTTGGAATGGCATATTGAACATGGATCTCCAAGTGTATACAGTAGAGCATTTTATTTTTGTCAGCTATTACTTTTGTATAAAACCTGATTGCAAGTTGTGAGAACAACCTGTTCTCTTAAACTGCATTAAACTAATTCCTAAAATCTACTACAGATTACTTTAATTTTTATTATTTTATGAAACCATGCAGAGGCACTTATTCTCAATGTACAGATGGTAAGGGGACAGGTCAACTCCTAAGCAATTGACCTCAAGGTAGGTCAATGCTGAGTGTTTTTGAAAACCCCTATCCCACTTTATTTAAATATGATTACATGTTTATCAGCAAACCAAACATCTTGTTAGGTTTGTTTTGCTTTAGTTGGCTTAGTAGGATTAATTCTAATCTCACAGACACACAAATAGTTTCAAAAGTTGGGTATAAAAATGACCTAAAACTCCAGATATTTTATGGGAGAGGAAACAGGTTCATATGACTCCAAGAGCTGGGGCTTTATTGAAACATCAAATAGTGTGATATTTACGACAGTGTTGACAGTGCTGATGGTATAACTATAGCTTGAGTTCAAAACTTCATGGAAGGTATGTAGTTCAAAGTACTTTGCTGTGCATTGGGATATGAACTGTACTGAACAATGGTATTTTGTGATTACCACCGTTGCTTCAATTGTCACCTGTGCCACCTCCCTCAAACCCTGAGAGTAGTGCAAGCCTGGGAGGTTGCTTGTTTGTATACATTGTGCTCTGGTTATGTGCAAATTTGAGTTGCTTGTTCTCCTTTCCTTGTTGCAACACTCACAGTTTCTTATAATAGCTTATCTAGTCTCCAAGACATGCTCTCTATTAAAATGTCACATAACCAATTGTACATAAGATGTACTGTACCAACACAAAAATGTGATCAATATTAACTTTATTTATAATACTTCAATGCAGTATAAATTATGTATCTGAAATAGTTGTCTTGCAATGAACAAAAGTTTAAGCAAGTAAATACCCAATTGCTTCAAAGAAAGATTGCAAATCAACTTTGAAGTTTCCTAACAAAGAGAAGCATTTTGAAGTAATCAGATTTAGTTTGGGGTCAAATTAAATGAACTATCTCCCCTCAGAAGGATACACTAGACATATTTTTATGTGGTGTACTTTGAAGTTTGAAAAATTTTCCATTGAAACTGTAAATGTGCAATTTTACATTAAATGCGATATAGTTAAATACTTAAAATCTGTTGTTATTGGCTAATACCTATGCCTTTTCTTGGGTTTATAAAACAGAAACTTAAGTATGGTCCACCTTCTTACAGAGATATTATCAAAGTTGGTATTAGCTTATGGGAACCCTTGCTCCATGCCTTCAAAGTATAGTTCATGTCAATGATAGAAGAGGTTTAGCTTAAGTTTGGATACGGAGGCCATAGCAACACATTTAATGGATAAATTGGCTTATCATGAAGAATGGGAAGCCAGAAGGAAATATTGGCTGGTATTGCTCCATACCCATATGTCCTGTCTCACAAGAATGCTGCTACAGCTTTGGGATTCCCCAATGGTATCAGGATATATGGTAAGTAATACTTGCCAGTTTGTGACAACACTTGACCCTCAGTTGAAATACAAGGTCCTGCATTTCTGGCTACCTGATAAATTAAATGTAATTGTAAAATGTTAGGATAGTGTACAGCAGTTGAGATGAGACTTCTCTTGGGGGGTGCTAGGATCATCCATGAAACTATAGGCAATGAAAAAACAGTTGTAACTTGACACTATGATATCATTGAAATACATTTAAATTCCAGTGTTAAAACTGAGTTCTCATTGGCAGCAGTGTTGAGCAACACATGCCACTGAACAGGTTTTTTCTTTCTAGGACAAAAAGGGAAGAAGTAAAATTCAGTGAGGTTTTGTTTAGCATTTATTGCTGACATTGTCAGTACAAATTTAAGTGATCCTATGATTCACTTCTTTCTGTTTGTTCATGTCATACCATTATCACCTTTCCTGCCAGTTGTTAATATATTCATCTTAGCATTATCTTTTTTTCCACATGAAAAAGACTTCAATATAGAATTAGGGCTGACCAAATACATTTCATAACAGTCTACAATGAACTAAATAGTGCACAGTCTAGGTTCACATTCATACCACAATGCTTAGCTGCACTTCTTCAATATGCACGTCCAGAACTAAATGAAAATAACTGAACCATGTCCTCAGTAGCAGGTTGAAGAAGAATTTGACACATGATTAAACAATGGCAAGCAGGAAATTCAGAGAGAAATCAAAAAGTTATTGCATATGGTTTTGATCTTGCGACCTTTTCACACCATTTTAACTAGTTTTGCTCTTGTCTGAATGTCCCATTGTACTTTTGGAATAGCCAAAAATATCTTAAGCTGCCCCAGATGGATAAATGAATATTTCCTCCCACAGCTGGATCAATTGAACCCACTGCCTTCCATGAAAGAACTCCTGATTCTACACTGTTATATGTATGTGAAGAGTCTCAGGGCCCTATATCTTTAACTCACTTCGGTGTTGAATAATACTGGCACTGTATGTAGTATCTAAAAGAATAATTTAAAAAACCCAGGAATTCCTGACTATATAACAGGGCTGATTATCTTGTTAAATAAATATTTTGTATGCAATAAGCCAACTTGGTTTGTATGTAATTGTTATAATGGACCATAAGCTGAATATGAACTGGCAGTGTGCTCTTGTTGTAAAAGAACCCAGCAGCCGACTGTGTTGTATTAACAGGAATATTGTTTGCAAATCAAGGAAGTGATTTTTCTGCTCTGTTTGGCACCGGCGAGGCCTTACCTGGAGTACTATTTCCAATTTTGGGTGCTACACTTAGATGTGAACAGATTCCAGAGTCCAGTGGAGAGCAACAGAAATGATTAGAGGCCTGGTGTCCAGAAGTATAACACATAAGAAAAGGCTGAAAGAACAAGGGTTATTTATTGACCGAGTCAGGAGAAGACTAGTGAGGTGGGATTTGATAAGTCTTCAAATACCCGAAAGGCAATTTCTGGTTATGGGTTTGGTTAAATACTGGAACAGGCTGCCTAGAGGGAATCTCCATTCCCAGAAATTTTCCAGAGCAGGGTAGACAAACACCTGGCTGGGATGTTTTATTCAGGGTTGATCCTACCCAGGGTTTGAATTATACTCAGACTAATAGGAAGGGGAGAGGAGGAGTCTGCAGCAGTGGCAGCTGGAAAGAGCTGCCACTGCCTGAGCTGCCTGAGAAAGGGATGGGGAAGGCCGGTGACTTATGGGGGGGCTCTCATCTCTTATGGGGGAGTTCAGCCCCCCTGAGTTCCCCCATATTTCAATCTCTGATCTTACCTTGAGCCAGGGATAGACTTAGTCTCATGAGGGCCCTTTCAGCTTTACTTTCTTGTGATCCTGTGACCCTAATTTGCTTACTATATCTCTCTTTAAAAAATCCTCTTTTGGAGCAGGAGATAATGAAAGCCCAGAAAATGAAGGGTGTTTAACTCCAAACAGAAAGTAAAACTCCTCTTTTACCAATGATAGCAGCAATAATGAATATATAGTGGTGAATGAATAATGGCCACTTGCAAGGCAGGTGTTTTGTTTTACTCCAAATTAGAACCATTCTAAGTATCAGACTGAATTTTTGCTGTTTCATACATCAACACATAACATGCTGGTGATGGAAAACAAATATGAGTTATAGAATATTATTTGTGTAATGATGAATTGTGAATCTGAAAATAGAACTGTATTAATAAACTATGTTATGCATCATCACCCATGTCATATTGTAAAATGTATTATCTATGTGATGCATTAATCCATTGTCTAAATTCTCTCATCAGGACTGTGATTTTGATTTCACAGCCTTGTGCTTGTGTGCACACACTGTTCACACAGGCACAAAACCCACAGTTCAAATTTTGAGAAGTTCTGTGAATGATTTATATGTAGACCCATTGTCATATTTTCTAAACTTCTCTTGTTATATGCCATTTGTGCTCAAATGTGGTGTTGAAGTGTTGCACACATTTGTAATACATCAAAACAGCCTGTTTTCTGTGACTGAAGGTGAATTCTGCAGCAAACATGGAATTCACTGTAAGCTGCAAAAGGGCTCAATGAATGAGCTCAAAGTTTGGGACCATGATACTGTACCATGTCAGTGATGTTGACACTGCTCAGTCTCTAAAAGTAAGGCCCTCACTTCAAAATGATTTTGGCTGTGGGTACAAAGGATTTTTGTGCCTACATTCTATGATTTTTGAAGCAAATCAATGAAGGGATGATGTCATAGGCTAGGGCAGGCTCTTGAGATCTTTGGGTTTAATGGCATGGAGTTCAGGGAGTAAATGTGACATACTTTTCACCCAGATTCAGTATGGAAAAAAGACCCATTTCCTGGAATTCACTATTGCAATACACAACCCTGTTAAAGTTCCCTCTATGGCACAGTCACCAGGCTGCTGTGTTTTATACCTCACCTAATGGACCTACATGCTTTAGGCTTTGTGTATTTTAGTATGTTTCAGCTTCTGTGGCACAATTCTTTGGTACAGTTTCTAGTCTCAGAAGTGGGACCCCATTACCCAGCTGAGTGAGGTTTCCAGAACCAGTGTTGAGCCCCTTAAATCCCTCTGAGGGCTAGACATGCCCTATGCCAGAGTCCCAGCTTTGGGCTTACACTTACTTTTCCAGGGACATGTAATAGTGAAAGCAGAAACACAGACAGGTTTGTACAGTTTTCAAAACACTCAATCCTTACTTAGCTGGAGGAAATAGACAGCATAACTTTACAGGGTCTTGTGGGATTTTATTTTACATATTGTGAAAGAAAATGAAAATCTTGATTTTTTTATTTTTTTGATTTTTTTGATTTTTAATTTTTTTTTATTTTAACACTTTTTTTGTTTCAGATGTTGCATTTGTGGATATGAGTGATATTTCCAAGCAGCCATCACTCTTCTACCATCTTGGAGTGCGTGAAAGTTTTGACATGGCCAATAATGTTATACTCTACCATGACACTGATGCAGACACAGCTCAGTCTCTAAAAGTAAGGCTGTCACTTCAAATGCACTTCAATGCAAAAGTATCTTTTAATACTCACGTTGACTCTTGAATAAAATGGGTGCATTCATGACATATAGGTATGTTCATAGGGTTAAGTCCATAATATGGTAATGATTTTTTTCATGTTGCTAGATGTGAAAACAAGCCTGTAGTTTTTGATTGTCCTTACTTCTGTCTCAAAGTTATTTTTTCTCCCTATCTATTATAAAGGAGCAGCAGGCCTCTCAGGGAGGGAGGGGGAACTTGATGAGGAGGCAGTGCCCACTTTGCCTTAATGGTTTTTGATTACC